GCTTTTAGATAAAGACCAGGAACAAAATGGGTTTAGATTTTTCACATTCAAACCATTCTTTTTTTCCTTAAGCTTCTGGAAGTTTTGATCTCCTTGACAACACTGACATCCATCTGCACTTCCCAGCTGGAGCTGTCACAAAAGATGGACCATCTGCTGGTGTTACCATAGTAACCTGTCTTGCTTCACTCTTCAGTGGGCGGCTGGTGTGTTCAGATGTAGCCATGACAGGAGAAATTACACTAAGAGGCCTTGTTCTTCCAGTAAGCATCATTTGAGAAAAGAGCTAAGTTGTACTAATTCTCCATATTCTGGATATAAAATCCGCTTATAGCCATTTACAGAAGCAAAGTCTTGCTGCATCGTTCCTTAGCAGCAATCCGGTCTCTCCTGGTGCAGTTGTAAGAGGCTGATGGAAGCCAGCCTGGTATAGTACTGTACCGCGCCTCTGTCCGCTTCGCATTTAATGTTAAAGCTAGCCTCGATGCTGGTTTCAGGGAAAGCACATTAAAACGTCGAGTTAGAAAGGAAACCTAGAAATCTTAAAATTCAAGATGGTTCCAAAATACTTTTTGCAATTTCTAAACATGTTTCCTCAAACTATTACTACGGAAGTACCTCCGGTTTCTTTGAAAAGTTGTTTCTTAAAGCTCTTAGGGTAATTGTGCATACAGGTTACTCTTGAAACCATCTCTATACATGTATTTTTAGATTCTTTTTAAATTTTGTGCCTCGTATGTAGTTCAGCTGAATGGTGTTCCCATAAAGCTTTTTCAAAGCACGAGGGCAAAGGGAAGCTTTCCAACAAATACAGTTTTAAGTATCGAACGGAGCCTGGCATAAGTGAGTAAGCAGAGACGGGAGTTACTGTCTCGTACCAAATGATGGACAAAGGAAGGATGAAGTTGGAAGATAGTATTGTCTTTCATGCAGTAAACCAGAGGTAACGCGGTAAGGTAGCAGACTAGAAGGATCTCTGAAATAGCATTCTGGTGGCAGTTAGTTAGACTGACAAGATTGCCTGTTGTTCAAGGCTCTAGTGAAAAATAAACACTGCGTTAACTCGGATCTGGTGCAAGTTTGCTTAGCTTTCCAAATAAATTGCCTTTATTGCACCAGTGACCAAGTTTTGCCTGTTGTTTAAGGAGGGAGCAAAAATCAGGTATCTGTAAATACTAAACCTGGTTTACCTTCTTTCTGAACGTTGTCTAGAATCTTACTATTACTATAACTTAATTCATAGGAGCATGCCGTTAACTGCACCTGCTGCCGGAAAGCAAGCAGTGTGCTAAGTAGGTAGCATTGTCCAGACTAGACTGATCACCACGAGGACTTACCGTTTGCTACTACCTTGTTTTATAGCAGCCTAAATTTTGCCCTTTGTGCTACACTACAAGGCTTGCCTTTCCTGTAAAGCATCGTAAAATTACGAGCTTCTTCTGTAAGATGGTCTTTAAACAGGATTAGAAAAGAGTTCAAGGGGAAGAAGCTGCAGCTGTGACTAGAAGAACTAATTTAAAACCCCTCTTTACAAACTCGAACGGGTGGCTTACTGAAGCGATGCCTGTTTTTCTAGAACAAAGCCCTCTTCGCAGTTTTGGAGCACAGGTTTGCTTTTCCGCGTGTTTTCTGTTGTACAACTCAAGTTGTTTATCATGTGGCATTGCAGCCTTAAGACTGTTTTCCCCCTAAACGTAATACCACCTTTATCTTGAAAATCTTCTGTTCTAACGTAGGCGCAGGATTTCAGCACGCCATATGAAAAACTCAAGGGTGTCTTTCTTAAGACAAAAAAATTCTGGAAGAGTAATGACTTTTCCGCTATTGACACTCTTGTACCTGCATTCCTGTATTTTAGGTTTTTAATTTTTTTCCTTTTAACTGTTACAGAAAGGGTACTGTAGCATATTAATATATTTCCCTCATTAAGCATATAATGAGCTAAAACTACTGCTGCATTTTTAATTGCTTTCCTAAATGACTGGGGGAAGGAGAACCTTTCATTAAAATTTAACTCCTGATATGATTTGTTACAATAGTTACTGTATTAGATTAGCGTCATGGATTTTTGATATGTATTTCTTCTCCTTATTAGGTTGGGGGAATTAAAGACAAAGTCCTGGCAGCACACCGAGCTGGACTGAAGAGAATTATCATTCCTCGAAGAAATGAAAAAGATCTTGAAGAAATTGCAGTGAATGTACGGCAAGACTTGACTTTTGTTATGGCAAGCTGTCTCGATGAAGTTCTTAATGCAGCTTTTGATGGAGGATTTGCAGTTAAGCCCAGAGTTGAGCGTTTGAATAGTAAACTGTAAGCAGACAGGCTGAGATTACTTCTGTATCAAATGTAAGAGATCAGCAACTAGCAGCTATCTATGTATCAAGTCTAACTATGAGCTAAACTCGATTGTTTAAATGTGAGTGTAAATGCAATCAAAATAAAAATATGACTTCAGCAGTTAACAACCCGAAGCCACATTTCACGAGCATTTGCTGCTTTTTACTATCATCAGTAAAGAATCTTGAAAAAACCCCTCATTTCCCGAGAGATTCAATCCTGAGAAGGCTGAAGCTGTTGGGAAAGAATTCCTTAGCTTATCTGGCATATATGTATGTAAATATCAGCAGCTGATTACATCTTTAAAGAAGACACACCCACAAACGGGGAATAATACGCAATTCTCTGAGCTGTAGTCAGAGAACCCCAATTGCAGCAAACGCAGCACAGCACGAGAGTCTAGTAGGTGGGGTTGTTACCAAAAAGCAAACTGATGTAGCGCAAGAGTTTACTTATTTAGGAAATAACATTCAGTATGCTAAGGAGCAGTAGCATCGCAGGAGAAATAAGGTTTTTGAAATCTAAAAAATAGGCTTAAGGGATTTGAACAGAAGCAATATGGTCTAAATTAAGTTAGTAAGTCCTTTCAGCACTCGGTTCTAGTTTGTAGCAAGGTCAATGCAGACATCATTTTTCAAACCGAAATCCAGGCAGCAACTCCAGAAGAACAGAAACGTACCAATTCTCATGTAGGAAGGGAGATCGTGCACTGAAGTTCACGTATGCACCGTTGTACTTACAGCACCAGCAGTAGGTGGAGCATACTTGAAGACCTCATGAAAAAGCCTGGTAACGTTCTGGAGGGACAAAGCACATGTCCTTCATTCCTACCTGACAAACCAACTTGATTCTGGGATGCCTACGTTCGGAGTGTAGCCTATAAAAATTAAATCCATTTAAACAATGCCAAGAAAGTACTGGATCATTAAATTGCATTAGGTACCGCATACTGTGAATAATTTAAGGTTTAAGAAAGTCTGTCAGTATCCCATCTGTTGATAGCTTTGTCTCTTATCTTCCCTTCAACGTTAGTGAAGATGGTGGAAATGTAAACTTATGTAATGCAAGATCCTTGAGTTTTTTCATTGTTTTATACTAGTGTCAACCACAAGAGAAAACCCAGTATGTTACATTCTCTTCTTGCCGTTAATTCTGAAACAAACTCAAGTGTGCTTATGAAATGCAAATTGTATCAGTGACAAAAGCCTATAAACCCAAAGTAATAGTTTGTTTTGCTTTCATTTCCATAGATAGATAGGAAGCTGATTTACCTGGAACATAATAGCACTGATTGATAGTAATAAATTCAGTGGGTATTTCTGCACCTGATTTACAAAAGATTTTACAACTTTCACAGAAGACTTCATCTAATAAAGCAATAAAAATAAAAACCCCTTTTGTTTCACTATTTTAAGACGTCTACTCTTAGTCATTCACTAGCTACGTTCCAAGGGTAAGAGGCAACAGAGTCTCAGAATACTTCCTGCCTTATTTGAACACAAAAAGTGCAAAGAAACTGGACAATCAGTAAAACACACCAGAAAGGTACAATAACTAATGTGCTGCTTTGCCTTTAATCAAAACTGGTAAGGGGAAAAAAAAAATCTTTACCAAATTTAATGCAGATCAGATAACAATCCTGCACTACTTTGCACTAGTGAGAAAACAGACGTGCATGGAATTCCAGTGCAGTCTGTTTATACATGTAGAAAAAACTGCATATTTCTGAAAGATAGTTAAAAAAAAAAAGCTTCCACAGCAATTTCACTACGGAAGAACGGGGAGTTGCTCCCAAGAAAAGTTAAGCAATGACTTTCTGTCTGCCACACCACTCCAATTCATAAGTCTTGTCCACGTGGACTTTAGCTGAAAGGTGAGGGTTTTAATGCCACTCTGAAAATACTAACAGGCATTTACTTACAGCTTTCCATGTTCCTACTTGCAGAGCTGACTGGGTTGTGTTCATTTGTTGAGATTTTTAAAATAAAACGTAAGCATTACCCATTATATCAGATGCTAGAGACACACTTTAGTGCCTTTTCTTTTGCTTTCACTGAACACTGTCAAGAAGAGTAACAATCTGTGCAGCAGCAAGCCAGAACAGTAAAGAACTTTTAAAGTAATTTCAATACACTCGGGATTATTCTGCTTTGCAACTGACAGTTAAATGGACCTGATATTAAACACGTCCCTCAGAATATACCATAAGATAACTAAGCTTATCAAAGGTAAAAAGAAAGCAGCGGTAGCTCCTTTCCTCTATACACTCTATAAATTGCTACAGATAGTAACTAACTATCCCACTAGTGCAATTCATGCTTTAATCATAGTAGCTTTGAAAAGATACTGGACAATACAACAGTATAGGCAGCAATACAAAACAGTTCACCCGCTTTAATTTTAAAGCACTACTGCAAACAAGAACTAGCAAGAAATGTCAAGGCAGAACCCAAATATTAACATCCACATTTGTCAAACATTCTCCTTTTAAGGCTTTTTTTTTAAAGGGCAATGAAAAACAACGGAGGTAGTGCTAGTGGACAAATGCAAGATCTACTGCATTTCATCTATTAAAGACAAAATTGAATACTCTTTTCCAATACAACAGCAAAGTAAAAATGTACTTTCTTAAATAAATGGCTAATGTTAAGACAATGCCAGGCTTTAATACACCGTTTATTTTAGATAAGGTAGTGAACTGTACAGATTTCTAGTACGTTTTCTTTTTTCATATATAACAGAGTGTAGTTGACTTACCAGATCCTCAAACTCTTTAGAGGACATCCACTGAATTAGGCTTCTAATACTTCTGAGGATCTGGGCCTAAGTATAATTTGTTTAATCACTCCCTCTGATGGTGGTCATCAAATGTTTTATACAGATTTTCTTTTTTTCAACACCAAATGGAGTAAGACCAGTTTACATTACAGTAAGTCAGCATACGTTAGTTATGCTATAGCACTTGTCATCTGTAAAACATAAAAGAACTGTCTGACCATACCAGTTAGCTTCTAAAGCTCATTACAAATGCAATTTTCAAAGTCCCCTTCAAAAGCATAGTCTTGATCTTCAGCTCATTCTAGCCTAAATAAAATCACTGCAGAGCAGCGCAACAAGGTTTTAAGATTCACAGTTCTTTTGGGGACACAAGTCGAACCATTCCAAGTACAAGCAGCAGCAGAGAAGAGTCTTACGCAACTTGTGCGCTTGCGCAGCCCTGTTACTCCCTAATTGTAAGTATCAGACTGCTGAGAGTTCTTACAGGTTCTTAGCTAGATTTTCTTAACAAAACTGGAGAGCTGGAAATCAGATAACCTTGGCAGGCAAATTTCAGTCCAAGCCAGCCAGCCACGAGTGCGCAAGTGAGCTGGTGAGTCAGTGTATTCCTCTAAAAACATTTGAAGTATTTAGCCAAGTTCCTGTCAAAGACCAGAAGACAAACCTGAGGTAAATGTAGACAAGCTTAATTAGGTGAGAATCATTACTGAATTTAGAAGACTGCAAACAATCAGTTGTATATTCATAAAGAAAAAACGCTAGATTGCGGGATTTTTTTGAAGCGTTTATCTACTGTCACAAGGTACCAGTACATCTTTTAAATGAAATCTGTGCACAGTTCGAACAGCCTAATTATCAAATTTCAGGAAGTGAAGCTTTTTACTTTCACTACATGAAGCCAGCTACTTCTGTAGTACTTTATTAATCCAACCTGATGGATTTTATGTTCCTTACCTGTAGAGCTACTTACCTCATCATGCCTCAAAATAATAAAAACAAGAGTTGTCTTAGTAGATCAACTTCCGATAAGAAAGTTAAGACAGTGCACAGTAAATAAACTGTATTTTAATGTGTTACAGAAGTAGTTAATAGCCAGGCTACCTCTCCAAACAGATGCCCACTACGACTAGGTTCGACAAAGATTTCTTTCAAATAGCTTGAGAAGAAACGGCTTCTCACCTTACTCTTTTCTGTCTCTCTCTCTCTTTTGTAACACAAACACCATATACATTCATGGTTAAATTTGTCACATATAGACAGTCTGCATAAGGCCCAATATCCTTCAAAAGCCTTCGTGGCTGGCGAATCACACCTGTAAGAGATTATTTGCATTGTAACACGTATCATGTCACTAAAATGATATACAAAAATCAGTTCAAGACAGTTGCTTTAGTAACAACCAAAAGACATGAAGACGAGAAACTGAGCGAGAGTATCAATGTGTCAAACTTTGAGCTAAAGCAAAAAGCAAAAGTTGTTTTTTTTAATTTGCCAGGTATTCTTTTAATGACAAATATAAAAAGACTGAAAACATCTCATTCTGACTGCCTTTTTTTTTGTTTTTTTTTTAAAACAAATGGTCTGGTTTTATAATTACAAATACTGTGTAAGACAATACCTTCTTTGTCCTGAAAAACCAACAAATACAAGGATGCAATCAAGTTTCTAAGCGTCTCTAAATTTGAAACGTGAATTATTGTTTTAATTTGGAAAATTCTTAATAATTGTTCATTTTTGTTAGAAGGTAACTCAAAGTACAACAACATCTAGACCTGTTTTTAAAGGAGCTTTCTTTCCTGATACATCTTTGAACATAATTACTCCTTTCGAGTTCAGTACATTCACAAAATAGCTCAATTAAGAACAGTATCACCAATGAATTGACTACTGGAAAGAGACAAAATTTACCAAACATACAGAAATATAAGTTTTACCATAGCAATTATGCATATCAAAAGATGACACCTGTAATTAATTTTAAAAAGATACAAAAAAAGAGAAAAACCTGAATTACAGAAAAGAAAGTCATATTTATTTAATGAAAAACTAGAAGTTAATAAAAATTAGCAAATACACAAAAAATATACACAAACAGCAGCAATACTATGTAGTGACTTACAAAGGGGGGGTGGGGGGGAGGAGGGGAAGCAGCGGCCAGAGACCAGGCCGCTCCACATGGCTTGTCAGTCAAAGGGGGAGGAAAAAAAACACAAACAAAAACACGAAACAGTATCCTTTTCAACAGTACGATCAATCTACAAACAAGTTTTTAGAATTATTTTACAACATTTCCTGTAGAATCAATTCTTAATACAAAAGATGCCCATTTTGGGTGTATATATATTTTCAGTGGTTTACTGTTGACTTATTTTAAATATATTAGTGTTACTACATGCAACTGCTTCCTGTAATTTAACAGCCTTTCCTTTTGTTTCCCTTCATATATGTCTACCCTCCATCTACCAAATAATTTGTCTGACAGTCAAAGATGGTTACCCTAGTTTCTGCTAAATTAAATGCAACGGTTTTAAACACTGGCCTGAAGAGGTTTGATTGCCATTTCAACACATGGATATAGTTACATTGATGCCTAAATTGCCATTTTCTGCAAAGAGCTGTGCAATGCTGGTGTCAAAGACTAGACAGTCACTATTCATAATGGCTGTTGCAATTCCCTCATGGATAGATCGAGGAGTTGCTTCCCAAGTCAATCGCCGCCTATGACCATTTAACTCAAGTCGATAAGCAAAGTTTTCTGCTTGCTTGCGTGTTCCTATCAGCTGTACAATTGCAAAGAACTGCTGGTGACCATCATATTTTTCCTGTTTCTCCAATACTAACATGAAATGAAAGCCAAAACAAGACTGCATCATAACCCAGTCAACAGCACCAGGAAGATTAATGTCTGTAGCAAGGAACACTATATCTTCTCCCTGAAGTGTTGTAATTGACTTATGTTGATGCATCAGATGTGGCATTACAGCATCCAGAGAACCTTGCCATTTACATGAAGCACCGGGACATGGACAGGAATAAGGCCTAAACTCACACAGCTCCTCATGTTCTGCTTTTTCTGTGTGTGGCAGAGTTATCTCACATCCGGAAGAGGCATATTTACACGGGAATAGTACAGAATTGGCAACTTTCTCCATAGCCAGGTTACGAATGGAGCCCAGCGGGCCTCGGCAGGTTGGACAGCACGTAAGTTTGGGGCGACAGTTGCTGCAAACAAGATGGCCACTCTGACACTGAAGAATTGGTGGCAGCACATAGTCAAAACACACAGGACACTCAAAGAGACTAGCCAAGTCATTATTGGAAGCTGTAGTGCCAGTCAGGGCAGGCACCCGCTGTGATGGCGTACACTTTGAGGTACCTGTAGGTAGTGCTGTAGCAGTCTGACGGCTCATTTCTGTAACAGAAGAGAGAAAAAAGAATGAGTATCTAAACACATTTTCTTTTCCTCTGCATACAGTATTTATTGATTTACAAAGAAGCTTCAAAAGAAAATCGATACAAATGAAAGCAAAAAAACCCATGTAATGCAAACTGGATACGCTATGTGTAGAGTATCAATTGTGCTGCATACAATACGGACACTTGTATGACATGCAAATTTAATGAGTGAAGAAGTTCTGCTAATTATTCTGAAGCAGAATTTACCTACTGGAAGCTGCAAAGGAGACGAGTAAAGAGATGCTAAAAATGTAACTGAACTCCTCAAAGTTTGTTGTTGGGTTTTGTTTTGGTTTTTTTTAATATTGCATTTATGGAATACTCCACCCAGCTCACTTGCATGTAACAACTAGGAGCGCTATGGAACAATTCTAAGGCTGAATTTTAAGTTGCTGTGTATTTAGTGAGCTAAGAAACTAGCCGTTTTTAATGAAAAAATGAATTTCCGGATATGACCTTCTCAGTAATCATGTTTACTGTAAATTTTTTTAAAAAAAACAAGGAACAGCATAGCTAAGAAGATTACTACACTGCTCTTTTCCCAGGATAGCACAGTGACTCTTCATTTTCACTACTCTGTTACTAAGTCCCATAGCTTGTAAAGCGCATCCATTGCTCCAGCGTCCTGAACTAAGCCATTTGTGAAGATACCAGAAAAGAAAAACAAAGCAATCATTTTATTGAATTTCCCAAATAAGACAAGAAATCCAAAAGATTAAATTTGAGAATTAATTTTAACATATAAGTACTCAAACACTTCCAGTAACTTGAAAAGGCACTGTTGATGAAGTTTTACATTCAGTGGCGTTTACACTGAAGTTCTATTCTTTCAAATGTCCCCAGACAAAAGTTAACAGCTGTCCGACCAAACAGCTTGCTCAAGCATTCAACAAATGCGATGAAAGTACCATATTTCTTACCACGTTACGGATGCTACACTTTCTCCTGCACCCCCTAACTCTACTCCTCCTTGTGCAAAAGGAATTACTAGTACTACCAGAAAAAATAAACGCTCCATTTTGAAAAAATAAACCTTACCTTTGTAGCTTAAGGAAAGTTAAGTAAAATGCTATCCAAAATTGGCTTCCGTTACACAGTAAAATTCTCAACCACCTGAAGTTCTTCTCTCCAAGTACACTAGCTCTGTATCTGTCACATATGTATAAAAGCTCTCAAAATAATCCTCATCTTTAATCTCCTTGCTGTTTGACATGGGAATATTAGGCAATAGGCAAGCTTCTCATATTTAGCATCATTTCACCCACAAACTTACTCATACTTGGACTAGATACCTCAAAGCAGCATACTGTACATGCTTTTGCAAGACATGCACTGTTCAGGGCACGAAGCGAAGGACCTAAGAGATTCCAACACGCAAAATAACTTCTCCCTTGATATTCAAGAAGTAATCACAGACAGGCAATTTCAATTCTCCTACAGAAGCACCTCTCCCCAGTCCAGAGCTAGAAAAACACGAGTGTCTAAGATTCGGTGTTCAGTCACTGGTTTTATGAGTGTCACATGCCCAGTAACAGCATCATCTCACCCCTCCAAGGTCTCTTCCTTCGTATCTCAGGTTTGTTGAACTAGAAATATCCAGTTCCCATCTTCAGAAAAAAACCCATACACTGGTTTTCAATGCTGGGCCTTAACTGATACTGTAGAGATACGACAGGAATGTTTGTATCTTTTGGCCTTATTTTCCTACTGTAAGGCATTCCAGCCTAGATGAAAAGTTTAAGATATCTGTGACACATCAAATATCTTCTGCCACTCCAGCTTGTTGTGAGGAGATTCAAATGATAAGGCATCTGTGACAACTGAGCACTGCTGCTATTCTTCCCCAACACCCGCAGGTGGGAGGCTCCTGATGGCACCCTGCAGTTCTACACTCTAGAACAAATTATACGCAGAGAATAATTGTACACGGGAGAACAAATTCTGATCACGCTGTTCGCTTGGGAAGAGCTTTGAAATCACATGCGAAATTCTAAAAGTGTTTCCCTTCAAATATTGTAAACACACGCATTTCAGAAAAGTTTGCGTGTGCTTCATCTTACCTGAACCTATACGTCCTGATCCAGGGATCCCCAGTAACCCACAGATAACACTGGTGAAAACCACTGCGTTAGACCAGTTCCCTAGGCAGTCTGACGAGCTGGGTGAGCTCTGGTTTCTTTAATTACACCTCTCAGAGCCCGTTCAACAGTTAAATTAAGCAACCTACAAACTTTGCAAAAGACCTTATGCACAGGTGTACTTCCCACTTAAGCTTTCTAAGCTACGGAAGTACTAGAGAAAAGAACTGTACAGCCCTGTTTTATCACCGTTTCTGTATGTGACCAGCCTTCACACACACCTTCCACAACCGAGGACCATCCAAATGAGCAGGGAATGAAAATGAGCAGGAATCTGTGAACCAGACCATTGAGATTAGCACGCAAGGAATAAACTGGATAAAGCTATAAACTGTAATTTACCAAGCCTAAACTTGCCCAAAGCCTTCATTTTCATCACTCTTGTTAACACAGAGATGAATAATACATCATGATGGAAAAGTCAGAGAAGTTCATTTTTTATAGCTATCTTAAAAACTACAAGTTAATCACAAGTAAAAGTGTTAACAGTGCAATACATTTAACCCACCAAACTATCAAAAACATACAATTACAAACCAAGTAAAAACAACTACAGAACTGGAAATAAAGTTTAAAGATATTTTTAGTTACGAAAACTTTACTATGGGTAAAAACCCCTATATGCAGTATTTGTTATTATGTTATCTTTGTGGGCACACACTGGGAATAGTCTCTAAGCAACAGCGACAAACTAAGGCACACTAGGTGTCATCTTCAAAAGTATTCGTTCCTACAACACAAATTATTCAAAAGATTGTACAAATTTTAAAGCTTTTAAACCAACAGAACGAGTGAAGAAGGACAAATGTATTTTAAGATTTCCTAGCTCCAGATCGAGAAAAACTCTGTCCTTGATGACATCAGAACGCACCGACCTGTTGATGAAACTATTCTCAACACCGCTCTGGGGAAGGGCGAAACACACACGCTATCGAGATCTCCGAGAGACACGATTTCACAGCTCCTACAAAACCAGCTTAAAATACTGCGCAGCACGCAATTTAAAAGTCACTACCTTTCCCCTTGCTGGTTTTACTTCCCGGCAAGCACGCACACAAGACTCCCTTCCACGAATACAGAAGGCTGGAGGCAGATCTCCCCGTCATGGGGAGCGAAGGAGCTCATCGCGTGTCCGCGCGGAAGAGACGGGCTCGGCTGTATCAGTGAAAGCACTAAGAAGCAAACTACCAGGGCAAAGAAACATCCCATAATCTTACACATTATTTTCTTAAAGTAAATGAAGAACTACAAAACATGCAAAAAAGCCAGCAAAACACAACCATACTGATGCCATGGTAGAAGGCACAGCTATTAAAAGATTCTATAACCCTGAAACATTTTTCTAGGGAAAATATTTTGTACAGTCTGCTACTTTCCCCCTCTCCCACCCCCCCGCTATACCTTCTAAGAAACCGGAAAATGGTTGCAGAGAAGACAGAGCCGCGCGGAAGCTCGGGGCAGCGGCCCCCCGCCCCCCC